GACTGCAAGTTTAATAAAGTAGATGATTAACATTCTAAACCTCCCAGGCCTACACTGGCTGTTTTCAGTCCTGTTACCAATAATATTACCAAATTAAAACAGCTCCACCTTGAAAGTAAGGCATAATTCAGAGTCAGTTGGCAACCTCCCTCAACCTTCAGTGTAACTAAAGCCAAGGGATGCCCTGACCTCCATCAGATAGTCCCTTCTGTGATAAAAGGCTTAATTTGGAGTGATCCTTCTTTCTGATGGTTTAAAGATCAATTTTCCATCTCAGGATGAACAATATAAAATGGCATTTATTTTGGCTTAATCAATGTGGAATTGAAAAAGATACAAAGTCCATCTAAAGGCTAATAAGACATTGAATGTTGTGCTCAAAGCTGCTTCTGAAGGGCAATGAGAGGAGGTGTTAAACCTTGTCAATAGTGAGAAACATTGTTAAAGCAGTACAGCTGATTTCTGAATGCCGTTAAGAGCAAGATGCCCATATAAAACAAAGATTTTAAATTGAATCTTAAATTTCACAGACAAAATAAGGTCAAATGGAAAATAGGCTAACACAAGCTTAATTATTCATTTTTAAACACCACATGACGAGTTCTGAAATGCCATGCATCCTTTGCGATTGGTATCATAAACTTTCACGCTGGATTAAAAAAAACTAATCCTGCAGCCCCGGAAGAGCAGTTGCGTGGGGAGAACTGCTTATATCGTGTGGCACCTACGCAGTCCTGGGAAAAACGGCATTACAGAGGCACCTCTACGTTTCTCTCGGGTGTGGCATTTCAACCCAGGAAAACATGTTTACCAAAGCTCTAAAAAAAAAAATAATCCAGGAAATTAATTCACTGTGACCTCCACCTCTGTATATTAGCAGAGATTATTTTGATTCAACAATATTTCATTTTATTATGTGGTTTCAGCTGAGTTATTAGCTAAGTGCTTGTACTGTGCTAATTAATTCTGATTACACATTGGCTGCAATAGGATCCCTTGTCTGATTAATTTGGACAACTGGTCACATAAATGGAAAACAAACAGAAAATACATCATGTGACTCCTCCTTAGGAGAATAAAGTCGAAATTCTTTGTCAGAAAAGCAGGGAGATTTAAATAGGTCCTTTTCTCCAGCACACACAGTACCACTAGGGGAGCAAAAGTGTTAAACATCATAAAAAAGGATCAGACTGAATCAGTGTTGTTAGTGAAGAATAGGAGTAAGGGGTGAAAATGAAAGGGAATGAAGAGTAGGTCCTGAAAACAGGGTCTTAAAAAAGCCAGAACCATTCCCTGCTTTTAATTCCGTTTTTTTTTAATTGAATTTTCCTTTTACGGCAGATCTTGTAAATTGCACCAAATTCTGAAGGCTGAAAATCCAAAATCCTCAGGGCCTTTGTGAGCCTTTTCCATCCCACTCTTCTTGCAACAATCTTGTTTCTCTGTTCACGCATCTAGCAAGCATTACAGTAATTATCATCTTTGTAGGTGACCCCCTATCACACATGATTGCTGCAATTTGAACTTCTAAAATCCAACATAAATTACTAGCCTTTCCCTTGTGCATTCAACTGAGCTTGAAAGATCAAAACGCCCCCTGCACAGTTACGAGATGAAGGTCATTTAAAGGACATGATTTCTTCCATAAAAGGACCTGATGGGCTTTCAAGTCATTGTGTCATTTTGCTCCTAACTAAACGATAACAAGGCAAGGAGACAAGAGGCACTGATAAGAATGTCAGACCTGCACAACAGAATTACTATTCAGCACTGATTTACACAGATAAAGCCTCATCATTTGGCTCTATCCTATGGTCTTCTCTGTATTTTCATTTGCAAAACAGAAACCTTACCAAGAAAACATGCACAGTAAGGAAAATAATCGTCAAATATTCTGTGACCATACCTTTACGCAAGGGCTGTGGCATTGTTAACACAAAGATAATCAACAAGGAAGGGATGTCTCTGAAAAGCATTGGGACTTCTGGTCTTTCATCCTCACAGGTACTGTAGAACAAACACAGTGTTACACAAATAGAAGTTCACTGAAGATCTTAATATTCAAAGCATCATCTCACAAAAAACGTTTTTGTTAATGATTTACAATGTAGAAAACAATTGTCTCATATTTTAAATCCACAGTGAAAAAGCCCACAGCAGCGCGCTCTCTTGAATATGTGCATTACCGATTGTCTTAAGACTTAAACAATAATGGCACACCTGTAATTGCTTTCTAAGACTGAACATATTTACTATTACATGGTGACCTAATTCCAAAATACAACTCATCACTAAAGTTTCAGAGCTTTTTTTAAATTGAACTTCTATACATCTTCCCTGAAGACTCTATACAAGGTCTTTTAATCGTTTTTCCACCATGAGGACAAGTCCTCCTGGGATCTAGTGGTTTAAAAACAGCATCATACATGTTAATTTAAAAAAGCTACTTCATTAATAACAATCATATAATAAAAACAAAGCCGCACTGAGCTGAAAGATGACATGATCATATTTGATTAACCCTTAATTCACTGCATTTTAAAACAAACCAGAATAGAAGGTGATTAAGAAATCCAGGCTAGATCACCTGGGCAAATATTATTGTGAGAAGCAATGCTCACAGTTTCCAACTCAAAGGGAAATAAAATGCCTTATGTATTTTAAGTTCTGGAGTAAGGGATTTTAAAACCTCTGTCTACTCTAAAGAACTTTGCTGCAGTCAGTAAAGACGTTGACGTTTTAATATATGTATGGCATTCTGAAGGACAGAGCACCTTTGCAGCTTAGCTAAATATGTTTTAGTCAAGCTGAAGGTAAAGTCTCCCCACAGCTTCAATATAGCCTAGGGCATTCAGTCCCAAATCAAACCAGTCATAAATGCCTAATAAATTAAAGACCTCAACTAAATCAGGACATGCATCCTGTAAAATGGCAAATATTCAAAGAAATAGAAGGATACTACAGTATGTACGTTATTATACAGTGATCTCAAATAAAATTACACATTAATATGACATATACTGGAACGCTGAAATTCCATTCTGCAAAAAAGTAAATAATACAGGTCAGCTTCTCTTCATGTGTTATTTAAAAAGTACAATATCAGAGCCTCGAGGCATCAGAGACAGTACCCTCTATGACTACTTAAGTTTTTTAAGTTCTAAATTGTTCCACTGAGAATTAGCATTGGCTTTCAGCTTAGTAAACTCAACTTTGCAAATCAAGCATAAAAAATTAAACACCATGCATAAAGGCATCCTGTTTCTTTTCATAATATGGTTAATGAGAAAAGATAAAATGAACAATCTGCTTTCCATCTCATGGGACTCATGTCTCGTGAAAGGTATGGAATTGATTTTAATTTGGAGAATAAAACCTGTTATATTTCAAACAGTTTTTGTTTGATTACTGAAGTTTTTAAAGACTTTTTCTTGAACACAAGAAGTTATTAAAATTGATTTTGTCCATATATTTCTTTCCACAGTGCCTACTGGGTAGAACAAACATTCCTTTTGTTAATTTTCTGCACCTCTGAAGGCATTGATTGTAGCTCGAGGCAAAAATGACCACTGTACATATGCAGCTGTATATTTCTTTCTGTGATAATGATATTTGAAATGCTGGATAGAAATGCAACAGTGGGGGATGCCGTTGAGAAGCAACAGCTGGTGTCTATGGTAAGCAGGTTAAATGTGTCTTTGGATGATAAGCAGTCTGGTGCCAGTATTACTGAAGAAAATGCAGATTCAGACTGGGAAAAATTAATAAGCACTACTTACGTCAAATCCCTATTCTGCATCAACTGCGTCAGCCTGGTCCAAGGGTTATACGCGGAGTCAATGCTGTAAAGGCGCATGTGCGTTGCAAGAACGTGAAACAGTTGATCTGGAACATTAATAAAAAACAGTTATTAGTAATTTATTAAGGAATCACGACAGCATGCTTTATAGTATAAAGGGTTTTCCACAGGTGGCACAAAAGTGCTACAGCAGGCGAGACCAAAGGCAATGAGCCTGAACACCACCAACCTTAAGCGGGCAGAGTAGCTATCAGTGTAATCCAATGACAAGTGCATCACTTTACTTTGTTCTTGGTTATTTTGTAAAAATAAAGATCATTCCACTCAGTTTTCCTTTCACATTCTCTTGCACGTGAACATCGATTAAGAATGTAAGACTTACAAATGTTCTTTTGACCAACATAACCCTTCCAAACTAATGTTAGTGGCTAACTGATCCAAGGAACCTTGGCTTCAGGATAGTGGAACCCAGACATCATTAAAAAAATTGCTGGGTGAATAAGAAAAGCAATCTTTCCACACAGAAAACTCAGGTAATAAAAAATCATGCTAATGGTAAACACTGATCTACATAAAACACAGAGTGATTTGAAAATGGTATAACTGAACATAAATAGAAATTTCAGCATCAACAGAAAATAGGTGACTGTGTTTGTGCAATGTTTGTAAGGTTCATTTTTTTTTTTTACAGACTTCAAGAGGAAAACATTCAAACAGATTTTTAATAATTAAATGTCACTGCATTAACAATGAAGGAAGCAAATGAAAAGTACAAACGCCTTAAGCAAAAATGGTTCTATTTGTCTAAATCTATCCTCTGAGTATATGTGCTAAATAGGACAAATTTTAACATTTAAACAGCAGGAATGTTTTCTAGTCTTAGAAAATACCAAGGATTCCCTTCAGTAACCAAACAAATCCTTACTGCAAACAAATGAAATGATAGTCGGTATAGGCACACAGACAAAACCAGAGTCTCAGCCTCAGAGTCAGCTGTTGAAAGAGGGGACAGTAAAACACACTTTCAGGAGTGGACAAGCAATAAAAGGCGTTTGCACACTGAGGGCCAAACATCCTGGAAGGAAATGTCAATGTAAGCCTCCATTAAACTAGAGCCAATGGTTTCTTTTTTTTCTGTAATTCCCAGAAGGAGAAAAACTTCTATCCTTATTCAGATAGAAAAATGCAAACATTGTTTTTTTCTGATCCAGATATGATTTACTATTCGGAATCAGATTTTAACTTTAATAACACTAGAAAATGTAAGTAAGGAATAATCAAATTCAGTGTGAAAAATGAAAAACCAGACAAAAGTGCTTTTAACCACTGTTAAATCTAAACTGGCTCATCATCAAAATAATTGGATATCAAAATAAAAACCTTGAGATCTAGTTTGATAAAGTTCTCCTGAAAAATACTCATTTTGTAAGATGTTGTCGAGATATTGTGACTCAAAACCTGATATTTTATAATATATGTCTAAAATGACAACCACACACTTGGGTTTACAAATGGTTCATAACAAAACTCTGTGAGAATGAAACACCAATTCCTGTATACATATTGCATGACTGTATATCGTTCTATTCCAGAATTCATTACACTCACTCCACCACTCTTAACGCCACTATCAAAGCATCAGCTCCTCAGTCTGTATGCAGGGACATAATCGCCTCATCCATATCAATAGGCTGTTGTCCCTCAAATTAGGAGGAATCAGGAAACATACTGTTCTGACATCCTTGTCACTGCATTGTTTGCAACTACTGAAATCAAAATTAATTTTGAACTTAGTACAGATGAACATAAAAACCCACAGGAATATGTAATTTTTGCAGAACCTTGGAACTGGTAGAACTGGGAACTCGGTGGCAAATATTTTGTGAACACTGCACTAGGTTTAATACATTGGAATGACAAGATGCTCTATTACACCGTTACCTTAGAGGTCAATTTTAAAAAACTGAATATTTGAAGCCAGTAACAGATATAATGAGAAAACAGTGCAAACTAAACCTGAATGACGTAAAGATTTAAGTAAACCATATAATATACTGTACTGTAAATGAATATAGATTACCATTCATAAGAGAGTATAATTACGGATAATTTGTTTTAAAGTAAGACAACACCCTGTAAGCGATGCTAAAAACAAAGGTGAAGCTAGCTTTTGGGTTCTGTTTGATATCTCCAAAGGCAATTTAATACCAGTTTTTTTTTTAAAAAAGCCATTTTAGAAGAAAATGTCAACTCTTGCAGAAACTATTTTTTCCTCCAGTCCTGTTATCACAGAAACTCATTAACCTACTTTTGCAGAATGGCCTCAATTTTAATTTCTTTTTGTACAACAGTACTCATTACGAGAGCTAAAAATGTGAAATTGGATTTTAAACCTCAAATGTTTTCCACAACTTAAAAAAAAAACTTAGTCCTTAAAGTTCCTGGAGCCGAAAAATAATTTCTCTTCATCACGAGACTGCAGGTAGTACAGTGCTACATCCCACCTAATTTTCTTGTGTAACACCATTTCTGCTGGTACTCCTCACGCAACATAAAATAAAAATGTGAATTTCTGATTGTAAAATAATAACAATGATCCTTAAAGATAAACCTTCTTAACTGTGAACAATTAAAACGGAGGAGCTGAAATACTAGAAAATATCTAGATATGCAGTTTCATGCGCAGGTCTGGACATCTAAGCATACGGTGTAGTCCATAAATATTTGAACAGTGACAATTTTTGCTGTTTTGGCTCTATACTCCAGCACATTGGATTTGAAATAAAATAATGACTGTGAGATTAAAGTGCAGAATGTCCATTTCATGGGACCAAAAGTAATTGATAAAATGTAGTATATTTGCCAATCCTTTGCCATTGATGACTGCCTGAAGTCTGCAACCCATAGACATCACCAGACGTTGGGCATCTTTCCTGGTGATGCTCTACCACGCATATAATTCAGCCATTTTCAGCTTCTGCTTGTTTCGGGGGCTTTTTGCCTTCAGTCTTGTCTTCAGTAAGTGAAACGCATGCTCAATGGGTTTCAGGTTGGGTGATTGACTTGGCCAGTCAAAAACATTCCACTTTTTGGCCCTGAAAAATTCCATAGTTGCTTTAGCAGTATGTTTGGGGTCATTGCCCTGCTGCAAGGTGAAGTGCCGTCCAATACGTTTCAAAGCATTTGGTTGGATTTGAGCAGATAAGATGCTTCTATAACTTCAGAATTCATCCTGCTGCTGCCGTCTGCAGTCACATCATCAATAAAGACAAGTGAGCCAGTTCCACTGGCAGCCATATATGCCCAAGCCATGACACTCTTCCTTCACCATGTTTCACAAATGAGGTGGTATGCTTTGGATCATGAGCAGTTCCATTTTTTTCCCCATACGTTTCTCTTTCCATCACTCTGTTAATCTGTTGTACAGGTTAATCTTCTTCTCGTCTGTCCACAACTCTAGAGGCTATTTTATGTACTTTTTAGCAAACTGTGATCTGGCTTTTCTTACCAGTGGTTTGCATCTTGTGGTGATCCCTCTGAGATTATGCTGGTGTATTCTTCTCTTTATGGTAGTCTTTGACACATCTATGCCTACATCCTGGAGAGTGTTCCTGATCTTCAACAGTCGAAAAGGGGTTTTTCACGACTGAAGGTATTCTTCCGTCACCCACTACTGTGGTCTTCTGTGGTCTATCAGGTCGGTTGCTATTGCTAAGCTCACCAGTGCGTTCTTGGTTCTTAATGTACCAAATAGTTGATTTTCACACACCTCATGTTTTGGCTAGGTCTCAGTGATTCATTCTGATTTTTCAGCCTCATGATGGCCCGCTTTATTGGCATTGCCACTTCTTTGGTCCTCATGTTAAGACAACAGCAACAGACTCCAGATGCAAATGCCACATCTAGAATCGACTCTAGACCTTTTGTTAGCTCACTTGTGCATGAACTAATGATGCAACAACACACAGCTGGCCAAGAAACAACTGAGCAGCCAATTGTCCAATTACTTTTGGTCCCCTAAAATGGGAGGACCATGAATAAAAAGGGCTGTGATTCCTATACGGTTCAGCCAACACAGACAAACCCTAAAATTAAAGCTGACATTCTGCAGTTTAACCTCATGTTCATTGTTTAATTTCAAATACTTACAGACTGAACTGTATGGAAGTTCATCCTTTTCTCTAACATTAGAAAAATAGTTTACACAAATATTTTAAAAAAATCTGTCAAGTCTCCCTACTGCAACCTAAAGACAGTACATGTGGAAGTGCACTTTAAATTGAGAACAGGAGACACTTGTTAACTTAAGGGGTTGTGGGAGTATACAACAAGTTATACAACCAATACCCTGGCTTCTTTTAAGAAACATCTGGATGAGGTCCACAGATCAATTAGCTACTAACTACCAAATGGCCTCCTTTCTTTTACCACTGTTTTTGTGTTCTTACTGCCTATCATTGCCATTCAGTTTATTCTGAAAGGTACTGTATGAAGTAGGTCAATGCAACAAAAAATAACCCAACAGTTCAAATGCATGTAAACCAAATAAATGGTTTTCCTATCTCCTTAATCTTAAATGTTAGGAAGAAGAGTCCAATTTTACTTGGCAACAGTTGACAAACTAGACTGTCTGTTGCAACTTGGTCTTTCACTCCTGGCACTAGACAAGCTAAACCTCAACTGTTACAAACCTAAATAGAGACCATAAATCAAGAAGAAAAAAAATGTGTCTGTCTTGACCATACCAAGCATGTACAGATACTGCACTAACCTCACTGCAAGTTTTAAGTTCCCCTGAGAAAATAAAGCATCTGAGATCCTTTATCTGTAAGCATTAAGGAAGTTGCAGCTTTCTATGTCCTACACTGTAAAGGCCTGGAGATGTACATGCAGTGCAGGATCACAAATGGTTTATGCTGTGCAGTACTGTGGGGTGGGCTGTAAATACAGAGAGGTGTTTTGTCAAAGGCAAAATGTCTTTCTAACACTAGATCTAAAAAATGAGCTGTTCTAGAATGTATGTGTGTATCATGGATTCAAATTATAGTATTGTGATGATCCTGGATGCTACAAACAGAAGTCATATTATTAAGATGCTTTGCACTTTATCAACCATCAATGTTTATATCTTACAAATTCTTCCCCATTGCCACATTTTTATATAGAGACATGAGAATTAAACCATTCATGGTGTTTGGATACTTCCACTGCTAGTCTCTCAATGCCCATCTTTACTTCCTGTAAATTAAAAGAGAACCACAAGAATGACAGCAAGTTTGTGGCATTTGGAGAACAAGCAAGCTTGTATATGCTGCTCAGTGCAACACCAAACCTACTGACTGTAGGATGTCTTTCAAATCTTTAATACTCTTATTATTAAATAGAGGAAAAACTTGGCAAAATAGTTTAATTGACCCTATGTTGAATCACATGAGAAACACTATTCTTCTGCCAAAAGCAAACATTAATGTATGGTCTTAGACCTCTATCAGGCAGCGTAAGGCTCCACAATTGACTGAACGCCATTCAGCTTTCCTCATCTACCAGCAGAAAATCATTCACCTCATCAACAAAAGCAGAGACCTCTGCCCAGGGCCACCGAGGTGAGGAAACCAGGGCTCCAGGAATCATGGGTTACAACAGACTACTCATCAGAAAATCTGACCTGGGTTCCAATTCACATTTTTCATACTATACATTTTAATTGGGCTCCCAAGACAGAATTGCTGCAAGTGTTTTGTTCTTGTGAAGACTCTCTTTTCTTCTCATGATCCAAAAGGTCACATTGTTTTTTAAGACAGAATTTACAAGAACCATCTCAGCTATTGCCTTCACACTTCACAGGTACTTTCGTGGCTCTATGCAATTACGCAACAGGAAATTTGATAGTTCTCTAATCAAATCTCAGCCTAGAGCCCTGCGTGGGACTATTTTCTCTTTTGCAATCCCTCCTGCTACCTGCTACTACTCAGACTAAATGTGCGCGCCTGCTCCCACAAGAAATCATGACCTGACCGGCAATACCACCCACACTCCATTTGTAATATAGGAATGATATTTGCTATTTCTGTACTATAGGTGTATCTAACCAAAAAGGCATGAAACCGCTTATTAGGCAATATGTAACATTTTAACTTCTCTGTAGATGTCATTAAAAAAACAAAACTTTACTTGCATGTAAAAGAAAAACATGAGCCAATCAGAACAAAGCAGACTTTTCATTATTATGAAACCTACTGAAGACTTATGAAACATCACAGAGCAACTGAGTCCTCTCCCCACAGGTCAGTGAAGCCGACTGGTTGCATGCTATGACAACCAGTCAAACTGCATTTCACTTATTCTCTCCACACATTCAGGACCTACTGAAAATGTGGAACTGGGAACATGTCAGTTATTCATCCTAAAGGTTCTCATTTTACATATAGGGAGAGATCCACTTCACCCACTGCTTTGTTAATGCACAGCAGCCATTATGTACCTGTAGTCCCACTACACAAGCAGATCAGATGAAGAACTGAGAATCTGCTTAAATGACAGAATGAAAGAACTTTAGGGAGGCCAGAATGTAAAAGCAGAAAAGTGTGTGCCATGCTATGACATGTGATCCAACAGGCCTTTTGTGCTAAAAAAGGTGCATTATATTAATTGCAACAATTATACCAATACTCGGTGAACAAAAATAGGGCAATACTGCCCTCTGATGGTCCTGTGGATTAAAAAAGGATTCAATTTATTTTGAATGAAAGCCTATTGTTTTGTTTTACATAAACACTGAAAATGTAGCTGAATGTAAACTGATGTGTTTAAAAATAATCCGGGTCATTATTTTCATTGAGATGATTCTCACTATGATTCAGCCCAAAACTGCAGTTAAAGTGTTCTGAGACTTCTTTCAAAATGGGGGTTCACAAGCCCCTCAAAGAATGGTAAAGTCTCAACACTGGCATATGGATACAAAAGGCAGGGCATGCTGGCTTAGAGCTCAGACTCAGTTCAGCATGTTAAAGTTCAAATATTAGAAGTTTTTGGAGATTAATCACACCAGATAGTGTTGGGAGCTTTTCTGTTCATTCTAAAACCTTAGAGCCTGATAAACACCCTGCTCTGAAATAGCAGACACAAGGCTGAAAATAGCCAGAGCTCAAAACCTCCTGACTCAAATGACCCCATTATCTATAAATTGGAAACTACAGTGAAAAAAAAATAAGACTAACAACAGTTCTTAGTATCTATGCACTTCTTGCAGTACTGAGTTTGCTTGCTGTTTTCTCCTTAATGCAGTTAAAGAGCTTTTCCATGACAGCAGAAACAGAGATTTCTTCTGACTACAGATATTGATCTAATGGTAGTTTCCATCAAAGCTGTTGTCACTTGCAGATTGCGATTTTCCTCCGTTCTCTTGTGATTATCTATAGCAATAGATTTGTGACGCTTGCTTGCCCGAAAGAGTGTCTGTACATTCTGTTTTCAATTGGCATATTGCACAATTAACAATTCCTATTTTGAGATCTTCTAATTATCACATACATGGCAATTGTCTAAAATTTGTCTCGTAATACAAATTACTTTATTCCTAAGGCCTTGTGCAGTTAATGACTCATTGATTTTAGATGTACTTTTACAGATGAATGGAAAGCTCCTACTTACAGCCAGTTAAATATATTCCCATCATTTATTTCAGACTGTACCGCCATCTAGCGTGATCCTGTCAAAGACCAATATTTTCCTAGCTGTGACACATTCTATAGCTAAAAGTAAGAGTGATTCAACCAAAAAATCCCAAGAGATTTTTTGAAATAGGTTTTCAAATCCCATGAAACTCTAGTAGTTAGCACAGGTTCTGTGCTCACCACCATTTCCAATCCCTAGTAACAGCAAACACTAATGTACTTCAGCTGAGTAAATTTGGCCTACAGCATTGCTACAGAGTTAATGTGGCTAAAAAAAATGGCAATCTTCAAGTGTGAAATCTCTTTTGCAGTCCAATCAAGGAAGACAGGCTTCCCACTTACACTGAAATAGGATAGGTAATTTATTTCAGCTAAAAATGTCAGAAATAATGCAAAACAGTAAAACAGATTTTAGAACTGAACAGGAGCTACTGGATTGCATTTAAAGACCACAACAGAAAACAAGTAAATGTGGACAAGAGTTAGCATGTACAAACAGATATTTAAGAAAGAAGAGATAATAACCATTAATTTGGTGTGTGCATAGTATTTAAATTAAAGAGCAGTACACTGCATTCCACAAGAGCTCTTTTAGTGCTGCATAATGCAACAGAGCTATTTTCAATGAATGCAAAAGCCAAAGAGCACGATTCATGCCATCTCCCATTGCTTTCAGCAATACTTGGAGACGGTCATCTTGTCACAAGTTTGCTACTATTGCTCTTTTCCTCTCTGAGCATGCACTCAAAATATATTTGCCGTCCCTGTTACACCTCCAAGGCTGTTAAGAGGAAAGAATAAAATAGAGCTCAATTCGTGCACACCCCATAAAAGAAATCCACAAAGATAAAACAAAAATGTAAATAAAAAGTAAAAGTGTCTGGATATGAGTAATTGGGGTTAAAGGCATTGCAAATATTCACTCACACAATACAAATCAACCCTGAAATTGGCTTAATATAAATTTATTTTGTGCATTTCAAATTAAATAGAAAGGGGGATAAAGGGAAGATGGAACACACTTTCCCTGCCTATGAAACGCAATATCCCAACTAGTAACACATTAAAGTTTCCTATTATGTTATTAATGTTAGCCGAAGCTTCCACTCTTGACTGTTCTTGTCACACTAGCCTAGTCACTTATACGGACAGGTGCATCAATCACTCCTAATTTCCATTCCCACAGAGCAGTTGCCCTCATGGTGCAATCTACTAAAACAGCGCTTGACCTATTTGTTCACGTCGTGTCCCCCGACGCTTGTTGCTGTAACAGCTCACCTGGGACACTACTTTCCATTTTCTGCAATATCTAATCGACAAACTTTACAATTGTTACAAGGGTAACATGGACTGGTGCTTTTAATCACACCAAAGACACCTCATTACCGCAGTTGTGACAAGACAATTGAAGAAAATCCCCCCCAACCAGCCTCAGGCGGAGGCAAGAGTTTCGATTAGGCATTAACTAAACGAGAAGTAACACATAAATAACAGACAGACTGTGAAGAACTCACTCCTGAATGGTCATAGCCTAATAAGAGAACAAGTATTGTAGTCCTTATAACATTCAGACTTCTAAATAGGAGGACACTTTGTAGATAATGTGGTCTGTACTTCTATGCAAAACAGTGCATTTTATTCTTAAATAAACCTGAATCAGGGGACAGAACCCTAATCATCAGTAATTATGAAGTCTAAATATTAGGCAGCTAAGGATCACCTAAAACTGACAAATGGGTAAGGCTGCATTTGTGTATATAATTCTGAAAGGCAAATGTTTTAAAGGGAAGCGTGAGTCACTTATTAATTCTGAAATAAACAATGATAACTGTAAACAAATGTAAGTATCAAAGAGTGCTGCACAAATACAATCATGTCTTAAATTTTTTTTTTAAAAATACCCGCTCTGGCTCTGGTTGGTGTAATTACGGGATCCGCAAAAGCACTGTTTTGTAGTCGCACTGAGAAGTGGTTCAAACAACTTAGAAAACAGGATTAAGCCCTGTAAATCTTCACACATCCAGATAAAAAGAAAAGCAAAAGAAAAAACTAATTTATCAGTCACATTCCTCTCTGCTCGCAGGTGTTGAACTTACTCAAGCAGGAGCGTTTGGCAGCAGCACTTGCACCTCCACAGCACAGATCCGCTCCTCGATGTACCAGCTCAAGCTCCAGGTTAGTCCTAGATTACAAGAGTGAAAAAGGAAAAAAAACACACCGCTGTTCACCCAGCTGTTGCAACAGAAAGTGCAGTTGGTAGCAGAATGACCTCCTCGATGCGCACAGAAGGTAGTCTTCAGCATATCTGACAAATGTGGTGCTGCGATCATCTGTGAAGTTATCAACATTTTCAGCACGCACCACCTCTTAGTTTCAACACCCCAGCTACTGCGACAGTGAGGATATAACTGAACCTGCTCTATGGTAGGGGTAAGCCATTGCTGGTCCTGGAAACCCATTTTCTAGCCGGTCTTGTAGATCACACTCAAGTCATCAATTTATAAAGACTTGGAATATGTTAAGTCACAGATGTCACTAGTTATGCTTGGTTTAACACAGGATGTTGGTATATCATGTCCTGTGATTGTTGAATGACATACAATAACTGAAAGCATCACCTACTTCAGTACTCAGTTTCTTCATATGTACAGCATGGTATCACTTTTCATTTCTGTGGCAGTTCTGTGGCTAAGGATCTGAGCCTGTGGCTGGAAGGTCACCGGTTCGAATCCCGCGGTCAGCAGAGGAATCCTACTCCATTGGGTCCCTGAGCACGACCCTTAACCTCAACTGCTCCAGGGGCACTGTATAAATGTCTGACCCTACGCTCTGACCCCAAGCTTCTCTCCCTGTCTGTGTGTCTCATGGAGAGCAAGTTGGGGTATGTGAAAAGACAAATTCCTCATACAAGAAATTGTATATGGCCAATAAAGTGATCTTCTCTTATAGCAGTGAAGTGAGAAATGGATGCAACAAAATATTTTACAACTGATCTCTGACTAGAACAAAACTGAGCTGACTGTTGATGATCCTGGAAGCAGTCCAATTATCAGGGTCACAAATCTCAGTGTTAATCTTTGACCCAGGCATTGATTTTGAAGCTCACATTGGCAGAGTTGTGATGTTTTTTTGTAACACTTCACATCTCTCATCTAACACAAAAGCTAATGCATGCTTTTGTCTTTTCAGGGCTTCATTATTATAATGCAGCACTGTGATGTTTGAAACAAAGACACAACCATTTGCCACCTGTGTTAGTTTGCTAACACTGACTCAATGTGAATTCAGAAATATTCCAAATACCTCTTCTTAACACATCAGCGAACAGTTAACGCCTTTTTCAACTACATATTGTTTGTAGTCTTTGGACTCTGGGCTTCTCTTAGTTCCCAGTATGAGGCTCAAAACAGGAAGAGAGGTGTTCTGCTGTTCTAAAGATGTTGAATGATCTTCCAGCATCTTGTAAATCAGTTGTCACTTTAAATATGGTCTTAAAAGTCACATTTATATTCTTAGTTGTTTAATTTACTGTATTAGTTTGTGTGCTTTTATTTTATGTTGCTCTTTACATGATATATCAATTCAAGAGAATTATTAACAATTAATTTTAACATCAATTCAAGAGAATTATTAACAATTAATTTTAACAGCTGGTCAGCGTTTAGCTACGCAAAATAAGATCCATGCTGCAGTCAACAACAGCACATGTGAACCAGTGCTTGAGCAATCTACAATGAATTCTTTGCCCATGAGAATCATGTTTCCCTTTATAATACACAATTTGGTGTCCAGTCTGTTTATTTAACCAGATATATCAACCAAGAACACAATCACATTTACAATGACAACCTGGAGAGAACCCATTAATACAGCAGGATCAATTTGAGAGTATCTTGCTCAAGGGGTACAACACTAACCTCCCACCTGGGATTTAAAGCCACAAACAAACCAGTCTGGAGTCCAGAGTGCTGAACATTACTCCACACTTCTACCAGTGTGAGATTCCTTGCAATTACATTTTACTGGATGAAATGGAAGTTACTTTTAAACAGATTGGATTGGAATAAGCAGCAGATAGAATAAATGCAGTGTACACCATAAGCACGCTCAAGTAATTACTTTGTTAGAACTGCAACACTCTAATCCTAATGAAACAACTTAACTTCATTTTTAAGGCTCAGGACAGTAAGTAAAGTCTGGTGGCAATTGTGAAAGGCAGTGACTGGATTACTGTTGTCCGTGTGTCTATTAACACAGTACAGTGTTGCACTTCCTTCCCTTAAAATAAATTCAGCTTGCATACTCAAGCAAAACCCATTTCTCTCCAATGTCTTCAGATGTTCACAACTGAATCAAACGGCAAGGTATTTACCCATGTGGACTAAAAGCCGCAGAGTGTATAGCTGAAGTCTCCCAGAACACTACATTAGTCCCTAGATTTACCCTGGACACAAATAGAAGCCCAGAGTGGTGAAGTAAATTAATATCTGCAAAGCAACTTAAGGTTCCATCAGGTTCACAGCTTCTTAACTCACAAACCTACATATTTGTGCTTGCATAAACTTCACTAAAATACACTTATTTCAGCAATGTACTCATCTTTTCATGCAATTATTCGTATTGATGTATTTGCTTTTACGTTGCATGTTTCAAAGTAAGCTAGAAGAAGAGGGGGTTTGTCAGACAATCACAAAGTCCCCAATTTCATTGTTGGGTCCAGCTACCTGGATTTTATTTTGCATTAGGGGGTTGATAATAAATAGCAGACTGGGATGGAATTCTCTAATGCAGAGTGGCGTGATTTGCAGCTTGGAATTGCTCATTAGCTTACAAAACACGTCATACACTGTTTTCCTGAACTCTCACGTGCTGCATTTAAGCCAATCCCAGGCTCAGGTTGTCCCAAGCCATTTTATACACTGGAATCATAAACATTTCAATTTACTTGTTACTGATTATAACACAGATTGGGTAAGAATTTCTCTTTGACAAGATTAAAAGAAGATATTATGTGTTTCGTGCGTTACTAAAATAAGAAAATTCTGGCTGTTATTATCCCAGAGTTAGCCGCTTATGCCATCAGGCTGTGGAGCAGTGCTTTAATCCTCTCTCTTCCTCAGAGAAAAAGCAATTTAACATTGATAATGTTCCTGCACAGGGCTCCATCTGGCTGCTGCTGATAAGGGCATCTGTGTGACAAGGGAATTTTCCACTCTTCAGGCGATTTGCAGTGCTCACTGAACTTCTAAAACCTACCAGGCATGGAAGCAGAGGCCTGGGATTTCACACCAGTGGGCAGAATAGCTAGGGTACACTGCCATGCCCTGCTTTATCAAGGGAATATAAATGAGTCCACTGTTTCATTTACACACTTTTAACGGCAGCAGTTTTAGACTAAAACAAATAGCTGAAGTGCTTATAGGTTTTTCAAATAAGATCATGCTCTATCCCTTTGGGAACAGCATGATCTTTTACTCTTATTAGAGAACTTTAAAGCAGTGCCAACAAATTCAATACATCTGCACTCCTGAGTAAAATACAAGGCAGTTAACTGCAGTTAATCTATAAAGGACTGGCTGACAACAGACAGACTATATTGCATAAGGACAAGGAATTCAATAAAATTTTACTACAACTTTGATAGGAGAGGGCTATATTGCTAGGAAGGCAGCTTTTAACACAACACCTGCAACCCCAGAGAGCAATATAATCAGGAGCACTAATAAGGATATTTAAGAATGCTTCCAAACCAGACAGGAGGCTTAAGATCACTGGTGGGTGATGTAATATTGTCTGTGCCTCTTCATTTCCTTTCTTTAATGTTCCTTTTTTTCCTATAGATTGGCTAAACAAAAAGAAATACAGACACGAGGTCATTCTCTTATGTGCCTGAATTCACCTTCATTGCGAAGAAAACGCCATTAGAAGGATCTTAAAGAAAATGTGGAAATGAATTAATTGCTCAGAGTAACAATTCCTTGCATAAGGAACTACATTTGCATCACACCTTAAAACCAGGAGTGCTCATACTTAACTACTGACTGCCTAAAGATTAAATGGCACACGTGGAAAGTCTTGAATCCCACAGACTGCTGAATCACACAGAAGCTTCAGACAAAGTCAGACTGTCATGCTACGGCTGTGATGAAAAATTTAAGGTGCGAGAATACTGTTTATTTAGTTTAACAGTTATTTGTCATGGGTAGCAGTGTGGTAGCCGTTACAACTTCTGGACTCGAGAGTAATGGAAGGGTGTGCGCTCATGTCCAGGGTGGAGGGCACTGCTCTGCTGCTTTGTCCACCAGGCAGACACTTTGCTCAGATCGCTGCAGTAAAATACCCAGCTGCATAAATGAGTACAAATGTAAAGTCACTGCTGATGAGTTAGCCCAAAAAAAAATATTAATAAGAAAACATGATTCTCCGCTGACTGAAAGTTTGTATACAGTCAGTTAAGCAACATCATCCAAACAGTTGTCAAGTTTAAAATACAGTGTTTTGTAAAAAACTGTTGGACATTCACAATAAAACAGTGAGAACTAAAGTCTTCCCACACCCCTCTGTGCTAATCTGCCGGCCTTACAGTCCAGGCAGGGGCATTGATTTTATTTTCAGTGCTCACCTCGCCACAGAATACATGAAGAGAAAGTCATTATCAGGAGATCCTGGGGTCTTGCTGTAGTCCATGTATTTCTTCTGAGTTGTGCTCTTTATGTCCTTTATCACAGACTCAATCTCCTTACTTAGACTGGATTCTGACTGGAAAAAAGTAATTATAAATCATAAGTCTCATCCTACAGACTTGTGGATTTCCTGATGAAGTAAGACTGAACATCACACAGTACTGGATTGGTAATGTGATTAACCCTCACGTACCTGCTGGGAAACGGACATACTGCAGAAGATTAAACGCGTACATTTGTAAAAGACTGCGGACGTCAGATATTCACTAAATAAACATCGTGCAGTCATTAGATTTACATTCAGGGAAGCAGAGAATAGGAGAGATGGGATGAGGGATACAACATCAATTGAGTAAAGATCTATCCGCCTTACACTGATGCTTACTGGGAATGTCCCCAGCTGTTCCTGCAAATCTTCCACTTCCTTCACGAGCACGGTGATGCTCTTACTGCTGTGTGCGTGCCAGGGGGTCTCCACACCTTGGCCTGGACGGCAAGGCAAGACGCTGTTGGCAAACTGTCTGCACAGAGGGCAGGTGAACTCCCCTTTATCCACAGAGAAGCCCTGCAGCACCTGGTCATTCTAACAAAAAAAAATACATGTTACCTCACCATCCACGAGCATTCACCCTCCACCATATGGTGGGCCAAAGTAAGACACTCAAATAGAAACAGTGGTTAACACTGAGGTGGGGTGGGAAGGAATTTTTAAAGAAAAATGCTTTTTCGCTCAGGTCCTATCCAAAGAAGAGATTTTTTTTGTATTTCTCAAAAATGTATAAATCTGATGGATGGAACGCTAATTAGCTGTCAAATACTCAGGAATTAATGCACACATTCTCGTTATGAATTCTCCCAGGTTAACTGCTGTTTATTTTAAATGAATAAATTAATAATTTGATTTGGCTCGAGCCTCCCCCCAGGTATTAAACCGGTGGGTTTTAAATTCATTCTTGAAGTCTGAAAACACATCTGCTAATTTTAATATCTGATTAAATATCAATATTACTGTACACAAAGAGGGCACATGAAATGAAGATTAAATGAGACGTAAAGCAGTAGTGAATCACAAGCTGCAGAAGATTTAGTCAAAATGATCAAAGAATGAAGTAAACAAAAAATAAAAAATTCAGTCACTTATGATGCATCCCTTTCTTAAATTATGTAAATCCCATCCATATTAAATCTCAAAAGCGCAAATGCAGAGCTTAGGCTCGGTGTATTTCTGAAATGCAAAGTTTTAATTCGCACTGTCTGAATCACAGCCTCAAGTCAACTGCTAAACAAAATGCAACAAAATGACAATGTCAAGTGAGTTATTAAATAAGTGTTAGAAATTAATCACAGGTGTAACACATGAACTCTATAGCTTTAGGCTGCAAAGAAACAAGTAAAGATTTATTTACTGATTTATTTATTAAAAGAGAACAAAAGAAACATTTCGGCTGTGGAGCCTTCTTCAGGTGTGAGAACACAGCCAAAATATCGAGTTCCTTTTCTTCTCTTTTCAGCATGGAATAAACCCCTACATATTTACATGTAGTCTTTTGCAAACTGCACCTCCTGAATGCAAAAGCTTTTTTTTTTAACACAAGATAGGGAAATCGTAAGTAAAGGAATGACCAACAAATAACCAAATCATTTCTATTGGACAGCAAACAAAAACTTGTAATTATCTGAACATAAAATGACAATAATCATTTAATAAAACCCAAGATAAAACTTAAACCTCATGGGACAAACCATAACTTGTTTATAAGAAAGCCATCTTACCCGCAAAGACTCCATGTAAGACTTGTGGCAGTCTATGTGGAGAGTATGACCACATGTCTGTACATACACACCTCCTTCCCAGCCAATTGACACTGACTGTAGGCATGAGCTCTGGGGGAAAAAAATAAAATTAAGATGAGTATATTAAAGTTAAATCCCTATTTATCAGGGAAATTGCACCTAATTACACATATATGTAAAACGCAAATGTTAACTTTCAGCACAGTTAACACAGCTTTGTCTTTCAAGTACAGTTATTTTGGTTCTTCATAAAGACTTTTGTTGAAATGATTCTTAGAAAGCATAACCCCTTCAATTAAATTGAAGCTTTCTTCATTTTAATCTTCTGAAAGGACATAAGGACGGTCATTGGATTTCTTAACAATGTGTGTCAGTAATTTTTTTTAAATGACAATTTTAAAATATTTTTTTAAAAAATGACCATTTCACTGTGACCACATACTCAATTATCCCTTAATCTCTTCATTACCAAACTTTCCCTTTTGGGCATCATAAGCAACTGAGGCCTCATAATTAAACTGTCATACATCCGAGTCTGAAGAAGAATGTGAATCAGCAAACAGAGGTTCTGATTAGTGTGGTACTTAATAATCTTGGCTTTTTTTCTTGACATTTTGTACTCTGCTTTGCTTGTCATTAGTTGTACAACAAACAAGGGGACTTAAGTCTCTTTATATTGATTCCCTGGAGTAGGAGTTGTTAGGGTAAGCTTAAAAAATGTATCGTCATCCCTCATCTAACTTGTATTTTTAAAGCATAATAATATCTATATTTTAAGGGAACACATCCATTTATAAACCGCTACTTATAACAATGTTTAGGCACATTTCAACGATTAAAAAAAAAACACTGGATTCGGCTTAGGGAGCTGTCGTTCCAGAGATATGGGTAGTGTTCCGCAGAAGACGAGGAATTAATGTAAGCATGGTATGGTGAGCACTGGAAGCAACTCTTCCATTTTGATTGTAGAGTGTTGGTCATTGATTTACAGAGGGGTAAGAGAGGGGAGGCTGGTCATTTTTTATTATGACCACTGACATAAATATAAATAAAATTTGTTCCTAGAATCTTAAGCCATCTCTGAAAAAGAAACCTCTGCTCCCCATCAATTCAAGCCGTATGGGTTATTCAGCATGGAAGAAGTACAATGTCTGTCACTTTTTGTATGCAAGAGAAAAGAAGCACCATTGAATTGTAAACATGGGGGGAAAAGATATTAGAGAGGCTCACAAAAAAACTGAATATTGCAATACAAGGTAATTTTTTTTTTTTTAATGCTACAAAAGCAAAAGCATGACATTAAGAATGTAGTAAAATATCCCATACAATATTGGGAAATTCATGAAAATGAAAGGAAAATGGCTGATGTACTAAATGCGTATACCATTCAGTCAATAACACACCTCAGGCAGAACTTTTATATTAAATATTATGAGCACAGATATTCAAAGCACTCAAGATTAATAAATCCTGATGGGATCTTGGCAATGAAAACACAAGGAAACAAGAAGATTTATCCAGTAGCAGCTGATGCAACTCTCTCAACAATCGCTTAAAACAGTGGTGGTATCAATGAACTGAAAATCAGTTAATGCAGTGTCCATTCATAGCTGAACTAAGAAATGATAGACCAATAAGTCTGACTCCTATTAAATATAAAGATATGGAAGCAAGAACTAAATTAGGGAATCAACATTATGAAAATCAGACACTAAGGATTTGCGAACATGGATTTAAGGAAAGTTAGGTTTTGCCTGATCAACTTCTTACAGTTCTTTGAACAAGCAACAACAGTAATAGATACGCACATAAAATGTGATAAGGCGCATCTAGATTTTCAGAAAGCTCTTGATAAATTCTCACCTTGCTGGAAAATTCTCATTTATAGACAACAGGCATTCAGGGAAACAAATGTTTGGACTGAGAACTGGTTTATGAATAGAAAACCGTAAATTGGAGTGCCGTAATTAGGAGTACCACAAGGACCAGTACTAGGATCACTGCCCTTCCCAATTTACATCAATTTTTAGGGATATGTTAAATATTATAGTTCAACATTTACATTTTGATAAATTAATACAAATTCAAGACAGGGCACACACCAGGCAGATGACATTTAATTTAGACCTGTGGAGTGTTTTGAATGGATACTCAAACAAGCTATGAATATACACAGAAAGCTTTTGTGTGTTGAACTTTGCATACTCGCTGAAAAAATGCTGTAATCTGGAAAATGAGGTAAATGTAAAATGCTTTGCATAACTGTAAAATATTCCAACAATGACTTTAATGCGTACAATTAACCTACTATTACAAAAATCATCTTAACATCCCCTTTACAAAAGGTAAAGATCTGAATATGGAAAACAAAGTTAACAGCAATACCTGCTGTATATAAAAAGGAATAATCATCAGTTGCTTTAAGAATAAAGCCGGACTGCGGAGGTTCTGTTAATAATAATAATAACAATAATAGTAATAATAATATTATGGTTCATCCACGAATCCCAATATAAGCAGAAGCAGAACAGCTTCAGTGCAAGGACATATTAAAGCCCCAGGCAAGACACCCAGTTTCATGTACATCATACAAAAATATAGAATATTCATCATAAAAAGCCTGGTTACATCACATAAAAAAGAACTCCTAAATGACAGTTAGCAAAGCAAGCAAACTGACAAAAATGGCAATAAACCATCAATGCTTTTATGTAGCTTGCTGCTTTAAATAGAATAAGACATGGGGGTGGAGTTCTAGAAAATTCTTTTTAAATTATACTGTTTCTTTCTTTCATTTACAGGCAGTCTTTACGCAACTGCCAAGGGCATGAAATCCCATAACGTGAAGATTTCACTTTCTGCGATGGCAACATCTTGATGCATAATATGACTGTTGATCGTGAATAAGCATGTTTGTTTTTTTTTTTACAATGAATACTTTGAAAAAATGAATACCACGGAGCCCTTAAATTGTTAAATGCAAAATCTGATTTTCAGTTTGAGATAATTCAAGCTTTTGTGGAGGGAAATAAAAAGCTCAGAGGCTGTACAGGAGTTTCATGTCAGCGCACGTGCCGAAATAAAGAAACATCGAACCACGGATTAGCAGAACTGACAGTCAGCGAACAAGACAGTTTACTGTCATGCTGTGACAAAACGCTTTAGCATTTTCCTCATGGAACCCCTAAGAGAACCATAAAAGGCAAAAGCCATGGCAACGTGAGGGAGAGAAACAGACAATTCAGGGGGCATAAATCCCAAACAGTTTACTTTTTGTGGCAGCAAGAGGCAATGAAAGGCAGATGTCTTGAAAAGCAAAGGCAGAAGTCGAGAATTAATTTCTCCAGAGACAAATCCAGCAGGAACTTGGTTTCGGTTCATTGCAAGCATTCAGAGGATGTGTAGGCACGTATCAGTGGGAAACCTGTTTGTAGCCATGCTTACAACAGCAAAGACACGAGCTAGGTTTTCTTTAAAATAAGAAGGTAGGAAATCTTTGCACCCAGAATGTCCTTATTGGGAACATTTTGCATTCTGAAGGAGAATGCAGAAATGCATCGTGACATAGAGGGGAGATAGGATTCCCGTATTAGTCAGACACCTACGTCCTTGAAGAAGCGCTGTAACATTGCAAGCCTGACGTCATGTGTAGCTCCGCATGTGTCTTCAGGGTAAATGTGCTCCTCGTCGCTGGTTGGCAGCTTCTTCGGCTCAGTGCTCTTGCAACGATGCCCCAGGACTGAAATACATTACATACACCAGAGCTTGATATGATGACAATGATATGGTAATGAGCTATCAACAATTCTATTTATAGCTTGACATAATATTTACATAAAATAATGAAGTATAATCATTTGCGAGGAACCTATATCATGTTTAAGTCTGCATGGAGTCATTACACAGATGTTTCCTCTATTAAAAACATAGAATTTAGACTGATGACTGATAGATTGGAAATATAAACCATAAGTCACCTCCTTCATCACTTCCTTAATCAGTACAGTAGTTAAGGGAGGGGGAATTAAAGACATGCCTTTTGAATGACTTTCACATTTTATATCAAGGCGAGACGTTGATAAAAAGAACAAAGCAACCTATACACCATTCTACAAGGATGGATCTTTCATGAATAAGCTTATTGAGAGGACAAGTACTAGGATGGTTCAGTTTTTTTTTTAATTCTCATTGGCTTTATACTTCACTAAAAGAAATAATCTTTCATAGATTATAAACACTATAGCTACCTACAGTATGTAACATTGATTTAAATCTTTCTGACAAAAGTTTAAATTGTATCAAGCTAAAACTACTAATTCTCTGTGTTGACTGAACTGTTAACGATTTCCTAATTTTGAGCCTCCCAAAATCTAAGCTTCTTATTTCCTGGTGGAATTCGATTGTACAGCAATACATGCATGGTCTTAAATTAAAACATGAGGTAGTTCAAGGCAGATATCTTTCAAATAAAACACACATTCTATTTCACCTTATCAGTAACATATTTTAAAAAGTACAGTACGATATCCAGCTACCACTTCAACCAAAATACAAAGGTGCCAGGAATCCACTCAAACTGTATTATGAAACATGTTTTTTGACCTTTAGTTTGTAAAGAGTTCAGACTTAAAATGTGGTTTCTAGAATAGAACCTTCAGGGCATGTTGTCTCAGTGTTAAATCACATGGACCCAAAGTGAAGTTTGTTTTGTTTTTTTTCACAATCGCCTCCTCATCTGCACAAACAAACATTAAGTTTCAAGTCATTGCAAACAGTATAATTAGATTCCATTTTTGCACTGAAACTCTAAATAAGGCAAAAAATGAACATGAATGATAAATAACCTAATGAAAATAATGGCCATGCTTCCTCTGCGGTGAGACCTTCAATAAGGTGGAAATAAACTATGTGGAAATAACAGGCTGAGCACAAGCCAGGTTTGAATGAAGCCAGTCGGAAATGTAACCTGAAACTTTATTCATAACCCATTTTGTTATTTCCAGCGATTCACATGTTTCGATCTATGTCAGATGACCACAGGGAAACATAGCCTCCAACCTAGTCATTTAACCACAGATTTAACTTCTTGCCATGTGAGCAAGACCCTGTAAAATTAACTGACCTAACTTGACGTCTTACATCTTTGATCTGTATCTTACCTGAAGATGCCTGGAGCAGGACTACTAAGCCAATGGGTCTGTCCTCTGTAGATGGGCCACTCTGTCCACAAATTACACAGTCATAGAGGACCTCGGACACCTGCTGCTCAGACGACCCCAGATCCATAGCAACATCGGCTTCTGGGGATTCTTTACACAGGACAGAAACATGAACAGATTTAATAAAAGATGTGCCACACAAAATTATTTTAAAGACAAATTGAGGGGTCAACGGTCATAATGTTTTTCACTGATGGGATACGGACACTCCTACTCTTCACCTAAAACATACAACATTTTTTGAGGTATAAAACCATTTTCTATAAAACCAGTGAGAAGCTCAGTTCAGTGATCTTCTATTAGTGATCAGCAAAACTTGGATGTTATTAAACCCCAGGACTGGATGCAAGAATCAATACAAGACGTGCGAAATGAAGAAAGTACATGCTTTCCAAAAAAGTGCCATTCAGAAACCAGATTAGAACGCAAAAATTCTGTACATAGCAATACATATACAAAAACATTTTCCTGTGTGTCCTTTTGAAATTAGATCTGCTTTCTTTTCAGCTACCTTTTAAAATAACATGAAAAATCATGAAAACCACAACAACATTTAATCCACTTCCAGGTGATTCTTTGAAAATTCTATTGTTCATTAGTTAAGCTAGTACTGATGAAATATACTTAGAAGACAAACACTTTTCATTTAAAGTCAAAACCAACATTTTTACCACAAATGTATCCCACTGAATACAGATGTACAACTACATATATTTAAAGATTTTAAGCTCACTTGTGTTTAATGATGTAAGCACAATCAGTTTATCTATTGTATATCAGATAACAAAAGTATTGAAAGGCATGATATAAGAACTGAGTAATGTAAAACTTGAGGGTCTCTTAGGAAAAGATTTGGGCTACATTTTCAAAACACTTAAAAAGTGGGTTTGGAAATGTTAAAAATTCTCCAAGGTCAGTCTTAAAATGTAAATCAAATTTTTTCATGAAATCATGTTCCCCTAATGAAAGTCACAAATTGTTAGATCTTTAAAATTAGTCATAAGCACTTCCTATACAATGCTTAAAGCAATATAAATTAGGGCTATTTTCCAATTTTCATTATACTCTCCACCTACGTCTTTACGTTTTGAACATATTCAGAATAGCTTGGAAACATGTTAACATCCTGACTTCTAAACTACTGTTGACATCCTTCAGTTCAAATCAGTTCTACTCAAGCCCTACAGGAAAAGGACACAAAATTGCTGAGAGTAATGAAACATCCTAAAAATACTTTACAACACAATGAATGAAAAACAAGAAATCTAAACTTTACGTGTTAAGAAAAATGGGGAACTTTATATGTTCCAAAACACTGGACTTAGAGCCAAGTAGAACATATTGTGGTAGACGCCTGACAAATTAGAGGGCTTATTTGAAATCAGAGATTGTGTTTGTGTGTAGATAAAGTGCATACACACACTTATGACATAAGCATCTGTGACAAACCTTTGCAGACTAACTTAAAAAAAACACTCCTCATTCTGGTCAAGATTACAATTACGCATTACATAGAACGCTTGAAATCAATGAAAGATTAAGCAAAAAAAAGAGCAATATTTTATTTGCTTTCCTCACTGTGCCCACTGCCATCTCCCGGCTTCGTAGGCACTAAATCATGTAAGAGACGGCACACACAGCATTCTCCAACACCAGCATTACAGAGACCACCCTCAGAAGCGTCAGAACGAGCAGTGTGTCATGAGCAGTCAGCTGCTAAGCCTAGCAGACTGTGCACAGACATTCACTGCTTTTAAATCTTGCTGATGCACTCGTGAAATTTGTTCCACATGACAACAACACAAAAGACTGCTGACAGTTCAGCTTTCTTCACAGAATCTCGAGACTGTCTTATGACGACAGGCCAAGGAATTACAGATTTGGGATATTCTGGACAAAAAGACTCATCTTGTGCCTGAGATGACACCTTGCTTGGGTACTTCTGGTGCTTTTCACCACTGAGAGCTGAAGTTGGAGAAATCGCAATAAAATGCAAAAGCTTTAGTCAATCCCTAAAAATTATTTGAAAATTTACTGAAGGTTTTATATGGTCAGGGTTCATATAATTCTGAGGTCTACAGAGGATAATCCCATTTCAAGGAAGTAGAAAATGAAACCTAAAAGGCTTAAAAGATTTCTCATAACCAAATCATAGTTTAAGTCAGGTTTACCTGTTACAGCTCAGATTCAGTTACTTAAATTGGCAAAGAAGAGAAAAAATAACACACACTGAAGATATATTGATCTGTTTTTAACTGTATATATTCTTAAATCTTCCCCTTTACTGCCTTTACCTGCATTTAATAAAATTCTCTGTAATAGCCTAAAGATGAACTTAATTTTTAAACTGACACCATTTATTGTACAGTGCTCAAGGAGGAGGACACAAAACCTTACTGCTTAAGCTACCGATACCATTATTTTAAACTTCTCTTGTGTCCTTTCAGAAGATCTCTGGAGTTCCTGAGTTCTCCTTCCCTGTCATATGTGTTTTATCTCTCAGTCCCTGCTGCAGCATCACTGCACACTGAGAGGCAGGTACAACTAGCCACTCTGTCAGAAGTTACCATGGCAACCAAAAGCCCAGCTCTCGGCCTCTACATTGTGCTCCTAATAGAGTTAATCCACTTCCGTAAGGCAGCACTGTCTTTATCCGATTACAGAGTCAGTTTACAGCATTTCAGAAAGGAGGTAAACTGATGCACTGCAATAATATAAACTTCAGAACCATCATAACTTGAGAATATGGCACGCACAGTCATTCAATAAATGACTGTTTAAGGAGGAAGACATAAATTGACAATAACACAGCGTGCAGGAAAAAAATAAGACACCACCTCATTCTGGCAAATGAAAGTCTAATTATAAGACTTGTTTAAGGTGACCAAGGCAATGCTAGCAGCTTATATCATCCTCAAACAAGGAGAGGAGACTTCCTTTCCAAGGTATGACAAAATATTTTTTGCAACAAGTGAATTAATGTTAATTTTATTATTCTCCTTTTAATCTGTAAAACATTCTACCCTTCTGAATCCCATCAATAACATGGTCCACTGAGGACAAAAGAACATTTTAATACGATGTGAGGGGTGATTTGCCATCTATGTCTTACTTGTACCAAAATAGAACCTAAAGCTTTGGAACACTCATAAAAAATATCTGGGACAAATAAATATAACTTAACTAGACCTTTAGTGCCTCTGCATTTTTACACACAAGGAAAAAAAATCCTTATGCTGTATGAGAGTATGGAAATACACTGTGTAAGCTGTTACGGTATTATATTAAAGCTGCACAATGATCCACTACCAAAACAAGAACAAAACAAGTGTTTAAAAGGTTAGTGTTGTCTATCTAAGGAGATGAGCATTCTGGTTTTGCACAGAAGGAAAGATTACTATCCATAAGGGTCAGGCAAAGCAACGTGCTGTAGGACTATGTACTTTCTGAGGACACTGTCAGGGCAAGAAGTTGTATTAGAACATGCACAACCTTTGTTAACTTCAGATCTGTGAAAGCTAATCAAGTCACTGTGTACAGCACATTGCATGGGGGGGGAAGGGTTTGACATAAAACATTCTCCCGATTCAAATTCCTGGTTTATTGCATGAAATCTAATTAATCTGAATTTCTTATTGATTGACATGGTGGTCCAATATTAATTATTTTTAAAATTAGATTTAAACGCTGAAGGCCTTGTTCAATTTCAAAAATATCGAAAAAAATGCCAGCAAAGGCTCAAATTGATTTATTGTTTAAGGTCACATATGGTCTGCCAGGGAGGTTGTTCTTCAAAAGGCAATAAAAACATTTTTCATTAGGAAGTCAATGTAACAGGCTCTGCTCCAGGCGGTAAGTTACTGCTGTATCACACACTGCAGTGACTAAAAACATGGAATGGGAATGGTCCAATAACAAGGACCTGGCTGTTGCTGTACAATTCTGTTGAAAGTAGACAAAACCGTCTGTTACGTTCATATATTATGGTTCTTCATTGTTAAACATTTCCTGTACTTTCTAGTCTTGGGTTATGTTATGCTTCCCTGCTAAATCTTCTATCTAACATTTGCACTTTTGTTGTACATATATATAACACCATATGTACCCACTACAAATTCAAGTAAAAGAGCTGGGTTACTTCTGCAACTGGATTATCACAACACAAATTTCATTTGTTATGAAGCGGACACAAGTGGAAAGTGTAAAAAGTGCATTTAAAACTGAGAACAGGCGTCACTTTCTTAATCAAAGAGGTGCACGAGTATGGAATAAATTACCCAGCTAAGAATTACCAAGGAAATGACAGGTTAAGGTCCCTGGATCAATTAGCTACTACCTACTAAACGGCCCAGTTTGTAAACCTTATTTACAAACTACTCTCATTTGCAAACCTTAATAAGATTACCGCCTGCCTTGGGTAAAACAGAAATTATTTTCATTTACACATACATGCGATTCAACCTCACAGTGGCATCTGGCATTTCAATGACAACTGGATAGTGTAAACACAGAGACAGCAATATCATCAGCAGACACCATCTTTGAAGTTCAACATTTCCTCTTGCATCTGTGACAAGAGAACATCAAATCAGAATAATTTACATTAATTCCCTTCCTTGCAAAAATCTAAAAACCCAGCTTTCAAAGTACTTTGGCGCCACTTTTAACCTTAGTGAAATATAGAGAGACTTTCAACTTCTCAGAACACCATAAAGCCAGTTCAGCTTCTGAAGGAAACCATCAGCAGGTGGTATGTCATTCAAAGACGAGGTCATCAATTATTTTATTGTATTCACTTTTAATTAGCTCTTTTCAGGTATTTAGAATTCTAATCATGAATGCTACACAATCTTGAATGAATTCATACCAATAAAAAAGTCAAATTCAAGGTGACAAAAAAACAAGCTTTAATGCAGTTAATCTGGGAACCTACTCTTTTAGCTGTTAATTTTTTCAGGTTACAGACATTATGGAAACAAATCCATTTTCTTTAAAGTATTTGTTTGTTAGACATTTCTAATTCAGGAACACCATCAGAGATTGTAGAATTTATCTACGTTTATTTTTAAATGTCTGTGTAATGGCCAAGA